CAAGCTGCCATGATGGAAGCTGCCGCCATGGAGGGGGCCATGCCACATGGCACAGAGCTGGCAAAGCTTCTAGCTGACAGCCAGCAAAAAACTGAGCTCTCAGCCAGTGGCTGCAAGGAACCAGATGCTGCTGACTACCATGGAGCAGAGCCTTCCCTAGGGGCGCTCCAGATGAGAAACCAGCCCTGGCCAACATCTTGATTTACAGCCTTGCAGAGGACCCAGCAAAGCTGTGCCCAGACTCCTTACCTAAGTAAACTGTGAAATAGTAAATGTGTATCATTTTAAATCACAGTTATGGTAATACTATTTATGCAGGAACAGATAACTAACACAGCTACATATTATATCTTTAAAATGCTTAAAGACATAAAAGAAGAAGTAAAAACATGAGGGAAAATGAGACAAAAACATCAGGAAAATTTGAAAAACACAAGTAGAATGTCCAATAATAAACATAATTCTTAAAATAATTTAACCCAATGGATGGGTTAAATAGCAGATTGAAATCTGCTGAAGAAATAATAGATGGAAAATCAAAGGAAATTGTTCTATTTCAATTTACAACATAAAACACAGATATTAAAAGATGGAAAAACTTGAAAGAGACATTAAGAGAGATATAGGATTGACAACATTGACCAGCCAGGGAATCCAGAATGACAGAACACAGAAAAGAGAAAGACTGTAGAAAGAAATAGAAGTAAAAAGAAATAATGGCTGAGGATTTTACAGAAGTGATGAAAGACACGATTCCTCAGATTTTACAAGCAATTCAGATCCAAGAAATTGTGGTAAACACACTGAAGTGAAATATAGAACACTGAAGTCCAAGAAATGATTTAAAATCAAATAATGAGAAAAAGCAGAGGAACAAGAGCAGACTCCTCAATAATGGCAATAGAAACCATAAGGCAGTAAAATAATACCTTCAAAGTGCTAAGAGAAAATTGTCAACCTAGAATTCTATATGCAGCTACATGATCAACGAGAGAATTAAAATAGACATTTTCAGACAAACAAAACCTGATGTTTACCACTAGTAAATTCTAATAATAAAAAAAAACCTACTAAAAGATATTCTTCAGAAATGAAACCCAAAGGAAGGAGTATGATGCAAAAAACAATGGTAAGCATGAAATTCGCGTGTGAATAAATCTACACAAGCATCAACAGTATCAAAAACAGATGATGATGACTACTTTGTAGGTATATAAGAAAATTTTAAATGCCATACAAAAATGATATGTAAAATGGGCAAGGTATGGTGGAATTAAAGTGTTCTAATATCCTAAACCTTTTGAAAGAATAAAGATGATTAATTGTAGACGTTGTTAATTTTGGTATGCATGTTAAAACTGTAAGGGTGAAAACAAATAGAATATGTAACTTCTAAAGCAGTATAAGGAAATAAAATGTAAACCATTATTGCCATCCACATTTTATAGAACATGAAACAGAGGCTTCTTAAACTCAGTGACTTGACTACGTTTACACAGCTAAGAACTAGCATAATAATAATATGTGATTTAAATTCATTTCTTTCAACTCCAAGTTCTGTGATTCTTTTCCTTCTTTGTCATATGCCCTCTGATCTAGTGATACAGTAAAACAACAATGTGTTCTCCTGACGTTCCATTTGAATAAGGCAAAAATCTCACACTGCTGCAAGACTATCTTTATATTAAGTAGCACTTTGTAGTAAAAGTAAGCAAATCCTCTTAATCCTCATTTACATTTCATTCTTACCTACCCTCTCCACTCATTAACTCCTACATTCCCCAAGTAAGCTCTCTTCCAGGCTCTAATTTTTACCATTTTTTTCTCTCTTCCTCTTTCCTACTTTTTAATTGTGTGTATGACTAATAAGAATAAGTGGTGCACACATGTGTGAACATGTATAATATTTATGATCACATTTGTTTACTAATTGCAAAAAATTCTCAATGTATATGCTATGGAGAGTGGTAAATTCTAAATGCATAGTTTTTGTTGGGATGGAGTTTGTTGGAAAGATTTCTACAAAGGTGAAAGACATTATAAAAGACAGTGGTACCCAGCTCTGCTCCATTCTATTGTAGCGCTCTATCATCAGAGCAAGTGGGTAGTATCGAAAAAGCAGTAGGACTATCTTTGGCAACAATCTAGGCTCCAAATCTTAGCAGTGATAGATGGTAGTCCAGCAAACTGTTGCTAGTGAAAGACTTTATCTCTGCACAATGGTAGTGCAGAGAATTTTCTCCTTGCCATTTCAATTGGCTTCTAACCGCACTATTCTATCTTGAGGCCACGCAGTAAAATCTTCAGGATATGCCCCCCAAGACTGTAGCTGAAACTCTCAGACCACAGTCCCTCATGTCAAATCACTGCCACCAAGGTATGTCATCTGCCTACTAGCATACAGAAAAGCATGTAAGTCACTTGGAAGCAACTCTTGGTCTCCTACCATACAGCTTGTCAGATGTATAAAAAATACATAAAATCAAGTTCATAGTGACTTTAACACAATGCCAGCTGATTGCACTCTGCCACTGACACCATTGATCCAAATATCTGTATTGTAGATACACTCTTGAAGAAAGCCATATAGCATTTCTATTATAAAGAAATGAATAGCATTTCACACTGTGAAACAAATCTATAGGATTATGATATTAGAGGCAATTCTTGCCTCTGGAGGCACAGAAATCTTGGATAATTAAACCTAAACCAATGTAGACAATTGCTCCTTTAACTAAAACATAAAGTAACCATAGATGTAAAAAAACAAAAACAAAAACAAAAACAAAAACATGACTTGCTCTTTTGGTGTCCCCCTATTCACCTGAAAGTAATTTTCTCCATTGTTTCCCTCCCCCCAGGTGCTGTGACTCCCCAAAAGATAACCTAGGGAAGGATAAGTGAATTCATGGTATTTATCTTTCTCTGTTATTTCACTTAACATAATACTCTCTGGGGCTACATGAGGAATCTAAAAAACAAAATAAATGAACAAACAAACAAAAAAACACCCTTAAATACGAGAACAAACTGATGGTTGCCAGAGGAGACATAAGTGAGGAGATGGATAAAATAGATAAAGAGGATTAAGAGGTACAAACTTCTAGTTATAAAATAAGTCATGGAAATGAGAAGTAGAGCATAGGGAATACAGTCAATAATGTAGTAATATTTGGTGACAGATGTGACTCACTTACAATGATGAACACTGAGTAATGTACAGGAGTGTTGAATCACTATGTTGTATATAACACTGTATGCCAATTATAGTTCTTTTTTTAAAAAAAAAATTTTAACATTTACTTATTTTTTTGAGAGACAGAACGTGAGTTGGGGAGGGGCAGAGAGAGGGAGACACAGAATCTGAAGCAGGCTTCAGGCTCTGAGCTGTCAGCACGGAGCCCAACGTGGGGCTCGAGCCCACAAACTGCAAGATCATGACCTGAGCCAAAGTTGGACGCTTAACCAACTGAGCCACCCAGGTGCCCCTTTAAAAAATTTTTTTAAAGATAATCTAGAGGAGGATAAAAAGTTTATGGACCTTGATAACCCCAAAACAGAATAATCCACCTCAGAATAACCAAAACTTGGCTGCATCCTATCTCACAATACTTCTATAGCAGATTGAATAATATCATTACTAAGAGTTAGTAAGTCTAACAAACTTAAAAAGAATTTCCACTTTTACAAGTGCAGGGAAATATGGTGATTACAACAACAACAAAGACCCACTTGATTGAGCAGCTGAAGATTTTTGGAGGAGGAGGCTTTGCAGTAGTGAGAACATAATAAATAACAGATGGTACTCCACCCGAGAGAGGCAATAGGTTAGGGGGAGGAGGGCAAGTGGAGACTCACAGGTAAAGGGTTAACAATGGAAGAGCCCACGGTGTGGTCTCAAAAAATGGCACTGGCAAATGAGAGATATAACTCTACGATTGCACGGAGCCAGATCCAGACCAGGTAGAAGCTGAAGCCCTTGTTTGCATAGTAAAAATAGTACAAAGCTCTGTCAGCTGATTTCCAAAGCACGGTTATCAAAGCCAGAGTGCAGGTGGTGGAAGCTAACAACAAACATCCAGCAGCAATACTCTACACTATCTTGAATAAGAGTGTAAGGTAATAAATAATATGACACAACTAACTCCGCATCATTCAGGGAGAGGTTCTCTGGAATGGGACTATTCCAGCTTGTAAGAACCTCTTAAATGGTCAACAGATACGGACGTGATTTGCAGTTTTCTAGGCTTGAAGACTTCTCTCCATAAAAGATCATAAAATCCTAAGAATAAAAAACTGAAAAGATTAAGTCAGCTTGAGTCATAATTCTATTCCCTTTCATTCTCCCCCTCAAAAGAGGCCATTCTCTCTGTCTCCTTCTGCAGGGAATCCTCTATTCTTCCTCCTCTATCTTTTTTTCCTCCTCTGTTTTGCTTCAGGGTGGTCTTGAGATGTTCTCTTCTCTACCACTCAGTATTGGTCTCCATGGTGTGGAACACACAAGCACAGGCGACGACACAGAGCCTACACCACACACAGTCAACATCCTTTCCCGCCCTCTACAAGGTCACCAGCCTGAGTCTGTCCACAGCTGATTTCTGCAAGAAGCTCAGCAAACACTTTGGTCAATGCCTCTGCTCCCCATCACTTCAATGATTCATGACAAGTCCTCTCTTGGGTTCTCTTTTAAATCACTCACAACCAAACCAAAAAGGCATAAATCAAAAAAAATATGGGATGTCCTTTTTTGGAAGACCAAGTAATTGCTAGCAAAGAGAAAATAAAGCAAACCAAACAAAATAGATAAAACTGGAAACCCACAAATCAGATTACAAAACAATATTCTACTGACATTTAAATAAAGTAATCCCATGGCAGCAAGGGAACAGCTCCCTTTTTGCCTGTACTCCCAGATTTCTCTTGCTTGGGGCTGGACACAACTTCTTCACGTCTCTGTGTACTCAGAGCTGCCCATTGAGCCAACATTATTTAGTACTTACTTGGGCTTGTTTGCATACTTTAAAAGGGTGAAGTGTTTCTTGGTAGAAGAGCTGATGATAAGCCTGTAGGTCAAACCAAAAGTACACACTATTCCTCCACAACTGCAGATGGAAAAAATACATAAATCATTACCACCCAATTATTAAAGCCCTACAAAGCTCTGATTTCAAATATAATTAATTGTTTAGTTCCATGGTGTTGCCATAAATCAGGTTCAATTTAAGACGGTTTTATCTTCTATTACAAATTGGCAACATACAAAATATTTCTTGGTATTGTCACTAAAATATTATATTTTGCATGTATGCCTCTCACATAATTGGCCATTAAAATAGGAAGCATGCTAGTTAGCAATTAAAGAGTAATTACATATTTCTGGCATGAAACCAGGTATTTTGCTGTATATGGGCAAATGCATATCATATTAAACCCAACCACTACTCTCATAATTGAACCACTGAAATACTTTATATCGAGCAAAACAAAACAAAACAAAAAAACCGGCAAATTTTCCACTATCCATTGCAATTTCTAATTATTAGAGTTATTTTTAATAAAAATTAAAGGACTGATAGAAACCAACTCTGAATTTAATTTATATTACACTAAAACAAAATTACATGAGAATAAATTGCTAATAATGCAAGTCAATCCTTGTCTGTATTTTGTTTTCTTTGTAATTTTACTAGGATAGTGAACAAAGAAAATGATAATTGAGATGTTTACATTTGTTACTAAATATTTACAGTAAAATTTATTACCAGAAGAAATGGGATTTTAACATCAAATGTAATTATTTGAGCACTGAATTATTTCAACTTCTCTTATTTTAAACTAAGGCAAAGGTATAAAATTAGATTTAAAATCATTGTTTTTTACCTTATTTCCTGAGTGCTCACAGAATTTGGTAAAGAAGAATCCAGCTCTATTTTCTACATACAAAGATTGCAACAAATTTTCCATGTCAAATCCTCCCAAGGCACCATCTGCCATGGTTTTAACCTAGATAACAAAACAGAAGTCCATGATCCACCCAAGAACATGGTGATTTTTTACGACATTGTCCAACAACAGGGTTTCATAAATTCTTCCAGGCTGTCATTTTCCTGCTGGACTTTTTATCTTACTTTTGTACCATATAAGTAATTAATGCAGTATGTTTGCCTCTGACTGTCATTTATGGAGCCAACCCTAGCAGCAGACTTCATTCTATTATAAACCAATCTGATTTCAAACTTAATGTTAAAGCGACTTCTCAACCTCAATTATTTTCATGTTTCAGGCACAGTGATACCATTTTAGGAGGCTTCCAAATCTCTGTTGGTGGCCTCTTTCCTACATATTTACTATTATTTTAGCCTTGAGGTGATGCTATAATAGCTACAAGAAAGTTATAAAAAGAACCATCTTCAAGGTTTCTCAGTGCTGCTCATTAACTGTCCTCAGGGGGTCCCCTCTTTGGACAGTCTCACCCTGTACAGGTCAAGGCCTTCAGAGAGTCAATGGCAATGTAAGTTCTCATAAAACTTTGTTGTTTTGGGGCCTCTCTGCCAACAATGCTGGCAACCCTAATACCATTCTTGAAACACAGAAAGCTGGCTACTTCCCCAAGCACAAGAGTGACTACATAACAAAAGGATATCTACTGTTCATAGGAACTCTTTGGTATTTGCTGTGTGGAACTCAGACTTCTTTGTAATCTTGAGATAACTGTGGCATGAACAATTTAAGGCATTGTTATAGTGTCTCTCTATCTCTATCCCTCTGCTAAACAAATTCTAAAGTGAGAATTTAATGTTTTTATGATGTTTAACTATTGGTATTCCAAAAATTTTTTTAAATCATTATTTTGGTGGGAAAAAAATCTTAGTTGGAAGAAAAAGAGCACTGTTTGCTTAGAATAAAATAAAAAGATATGCAAAATTATATCTAAGTGTTCAGACTCTATTGGGACTACCAAGGTTTCTACCTAAAGTATAGTCCTTAGGGAATGTAAACTTGTCACCTCCAACTGATATAGTAAATCCACATTATCAAGGTAGACACACACTGGAAATAGAATTTCATAAAAAGTCTAAGTTCCCAAGAGAACATTAAAATTATTTTTTATCAAATGTTAACAATTTAATAAAAATAATAGTCTTATTGTGTGTCTAAACCAGAACACAGCTGTTTTTGAAAATAGTAACCAACGGGAGTATATAGCAACATGGTACTATACAAGGAAACACAGAGGAAATTTCTGTATAAAAATCCTTCTCAGGGGGGTACCTGGGTGGCTCAGTCAGTTGGTGTCTGACTTCGGCTCAGGTCATGATCTCATGGCTTGTGGGTTTGAGCCTCCCATTGGGCTCTGTACTGACAGCCTGGAGCCTGGAGCCTGCTTCGAATTCTGCGTCTCTGTCCCTCTCTGCCCCCTTGCCCACTCGTGCTGTCTCTCGCTCTCTCAAAAATAAATTTAACAAACATTAAAAAAATCATTTCAGGGGCGCCTGGGTGGCGCAGTCGGTTAAGCATCCGACTTCAGCCAGGTCACGATCTCGCGGTCCGTGAGTTCGAGCCCCGCATCAGGCTCTGGGCTGATGGCTCGGAGCCTGGAGCCTGTTTCCGATTCTGTGTCTCCCTCTCTCTCTGCCCCTCCCCCGTTCATGCTCTGTCTCTCTCTGTCCCAAAAATAAATAAACGTTGAAAAAAAAAATTAAAAAAATAAATAAATCATTTCAGAAGGAGAAAATAAAATGCGTTGTTTAGTAAAGAAAAAATACTACGGTAAATCAATAAAAATTCTCTGAAGTAGGGCACCGGGGTGGCTCAGTCAGTGAAGCATCCCACTCTTGATTTCAGCTCAGGTCATGATTTCATGGTTCATGAAATCAAGCCATGCATCAGGCTCTGTGCTGACAGCATGGAGCCTACTTGGGATTCTCTCTCCCTCTTCTCTCTCTCTGCCCCTCCCAGCTTGCACACACGTGCATTCTCTCTCTGAAAATAAACAAATAAACATTTAAAAGAATTCTCTAAAGTCAGTTAAATGAAGAATCAAATTAATCTCAAAATACTTACCAAAGATTCTTCTGTATAAGTGTATCTTCTATCCAGCTGGGGCTTCAGACATTCAGAAATATCAGTAAAAGATGTTAAGCGAATAACTCTGGTGCTTTCTGATCTGTGCCTCAACCTAAATTATAAGAATGAGAACTAATTGATCAACATATTTTGAGTACCCTTGGTATACATGGCATCAATTCTTAGGAGTGATAGAAACCCAGATAGTGGTGGAGAAGAGGTGTCTTAGGCCCAATTGCAACTGTGGAAGCAAGCAGCAAAAATGGAAAAAGGCAAGGGGTCAAGACCTCTATCAGCTGTATTACTGACTGGAGGAGGCAGTGAAGCACAACTCCATGAAGGAGATATGGCTGGTGATCCACAGGAGAGTCTATGATATCACCCATTTCCTTAACAAGCATCCTGGGGGAGAAGAGGTTCTACAGGAACAAGCTGGTGCAGACACAAGTAAAAGCTTTGAAGACGTAGGCCACTCCTCTGATGCCACAGAAATGCTCAAGCAGTACTATATTGGTGATGTGCATCCAAGTGATCTTAAACCTGAAAGTGGTAACAAGGACCCTTCAAAAGATACCTGTGCAAAAGTTGCTGGTCATATTGGATTTTGCCCATCATAGGCGCTATTGTCTTAGGTTTCCTGTATTGTTACTACATGTCGGAAAAGAAATCCTCCTGGAAGTCAGAAAGCATATCCACTGGGACTGTGAGCTAGAGGCTTGTTTGGAGGCTGACTGGTGCCCTCTCCTAGAATCCTGCCAGTTATGTGCATCCCCCTTGGAGCCCAGATGTCTGGCCAGACATCCATCCCAGACCTGGGGCCAGTGTCCTTCATCTCCCAGAGCCTTACTCCCAAAGCACCCACTCATTGTTCTGTGTCTCTGCCAGTGGCTCCTCTTTCTGCTGCCATTCACCATTGCATTTCCATACTTTGTGTTACAATTACAATCCATATGTCCTAGTGACATTGTCCTTTGGTAAAAATGACTGCCTTCCAATACTTGAAATGCATATCAGATATTCTTAACAGGGCAACACACTCCGGTTTTGAAGCTTTTCTTTTTCCATTGAAGTGTATTACACATACACATATATATGTATTTGAATACATATGTACATATATATTTGAATATAATATTTGAATTTATTTATACGCATATATAAATCTTACAAATGCGTCTGGACACTGTGAGAGAATAGGGAGAAAAACAGTGCAAGTATCAGGTACAGCCTTTAAGAGATGGTTGAAAAAATGAAATCTAGTCCTACAGAAAGATGACTCTCAATAACGTAACTGTTGGTTGAATGAATTCAAGAATATATTATAGATGCCAAATGATGGGAATGGATAATAAATACTATGGAATGTAAGAACAAGAAGTTTCTTTGAGCTGTATTAGTAATGAAAGAAATGATATTTTCCCTGAAAAACTGGGTAGGAGATGAATTCTGTGTGTGCATGTGTGTGTGTGCATGTATATGTGTGTGCGTGTGTGTGTGTGTGTGTACGTGTGTGTGTGTGTGTGTGTGTGTGTGTGTTTAGAAAGGTTCTTTAGATGGGGAGAATAGTGAGCAAAAATGAAAGTAGGTAGGGAAAGCCTTGTTTAAAAGGCAGCAAGTAAAAAATAAAATTAAATTAAATTAAAATAAAATAAAATAAAATAAAATAAAATAAAATAAAATAAAATAAAATGAGGCAGCAAGTGAACTAATTTGTTTAGGGTAAGAGGACACTAACAGTTAAGTGAATACTATATAACACATGCCAAACACTGTGCTAAATACAATTCACATTATCATATTTAATCCTCACAACAGGTGGGATTCATAAGGATTTATATGTGGTAGTGTGGGGTGAGATAATGGAAGATTTTGGAGCTAGACTAATGACTTCAGACATTATCTTGTTATATTTTCTTATCCAGCTCCCTCTCCATAACGCACTGCAATTATTCTAAACCCTATTTTCCAGCTCCATAAAATGCCCATTCCACTTCACCAATATATCTGCATTCCAATCTGCCAGCAGATTACTTTGCAGCTTCTTCTCAGACAAAATGTAGGTAAAATATGCTTCAGTTTCTCAGGGAAAAGGTAGGTACAACGTGCTTCAGTTTCCACTCCCCAATGAAGGAGACACTGTTTGACTGGCTAACACAACACCCATTCCCAGTGACATAGCTTTATAACTAGCACCACTGACATACTGATAAAGCTAAATATTCACTTTCTAAGACCATCTTGCAGAGAAGGATTATCATGTGATATCGTTATGACTAGTGAGATACAAAATGAAGCCTGCTGGGGAGTTTCTAAGAAAGCTTGCTTTTCTGACCAAAGGGAAAAGATGAAGGAAAATTGCCCTTCTTCCTTTATGATTGGAAAGCTTGATGTCTGGAGCTATAACATCAATGAACATGAAAGAATGGCAAAGAACATTACAAAAATTCAGGCCCTAATACTTCTGATCCAGGGAAGCAATGCTGGCAGTTACCTACCCTCAGATTTCTTATTCTGTCAGAAAAATAAGCCCAATTTGTCTATGCCATGGTCAGTCAAGTTTTCTGTAATTTGCAGCTGAAAAGACTTAAATTATTTACCAACAAATACATCCACCTATACTTAGCCTTATTTCCTTCCATCCTGTCTCAGGAAAAAGTGTCCTATCTCCTGTTGAAGGTTAATCCCATGGCCTTTGTTCTTGAACTCTTCTTTCCATTCTCCATTGAAAATATAAACCTTTAGGGTGCCTGGGTGGCTCAGTCAGTTAAGCATCCAACTCTTGAATCCAGCTCAAGTCATGATCTCACAATTCGTGAGATTGAGCTCCATGCTATCAGCATGGAGCCTGCTTGGGATTCTCGCTCTCTCCCTCTCTCTCTGCCCCTCCCCAGCTCACACACATATGCATGCACTGTTTCTCTCAAAATAAATAAACTTAAAAAAAAAGAAAATACAGATCTTCTTCTTTCTCAACAATCTTTAACTTCTTCCTTTTCACTAGATACTACTCTAAGCATATTAACAAGCTCAAGTCTCTGCCACCTTAAAATACCTTTTCCCTGTACAGAAAATCATCAAATCACAAAAGAAGAGAGCAAGAAAAAAAGGAAAAAAGGAATTACAAAATAGCCAGAAAGCAATTAATAAAATGACAATGAGTCCATACCTATCAATAATTATTTTACATGGAAATGGACTAAACTCTCTAATTAAAAGGCACAGAGTAGCCTGGATGCTCTCATACATCTGAAAGGAGTATAAATTGTTACAACTCCTATTAAATACAATTTGGTAATATCTTAAAAAATTTTTAAATCACATGAATTTGGATTTAGAAATTCTTCTTTTAAGAAATTACCCTGCAGACATATGCATTAACATGAAATATAGCAAATGTACAATATCCATTGCAACATTGTTTTTAATAACGACAAATACTGGAAATAATGTCCATGTCCCTTAATAGAGTACAAATACAATAATACTTGGCATAAAATGAAAGATAACCAGACATAAGGAGAGATAAGATTATAAGAACAAGAAACGACAGAAAACACAGATTACAGTATATCTATTACTGTAGTACATTTACTGCTATGAAACACTTTAGATAAATTCAGTAAAAACAAAGATACATGGGGCGCCTGGGTAGCTCAGTTGGTTAAGTGTCTGACTCTTAACTTCAGCTCAGGTCGTGATCTTATGGTTCATGAGATCAAGTCCCATGTCAGGTTCTGCACTGACAGAGCAGGGCCTGCTTGGGATTCTCTCTCTCCCTCTCTCTCAAAACAAATAAATAAATATTTTTTAAATATTAAGAAAAATACAAAGGTATGCAATAAGTGTATAGCATGATACTATTTTTGAACCATGTATATATTTCCAATTTTGAAAATAAAATAATTTAATTTTAATAAATGACACACACACAAAACTCTCTAGATGTTCTTCACTGCATGGGAAATCAACTCCAAATTCCCTAATGTGACACAGAAAAATGTCACTATCTGAACCTCCATTATTGTTTTAGCTTTTATCTTGCCTTTTTACTGTAATACACTATATCTAGCCAAAACTTAAACATAAAAACAATGCATAGTTCTCAAAATTCAACTTTTCTCTCAGTTCATACCTGTATGTCTTTTCACTTGTTTTATCACTTGAAAAATTAAGATAATGTCTTCTTCATGGGGATGAATTCATGGGAACTAATATAATGCAAGAAAAGTATCTACAACCAAAACTTATTAACTGCTATTTTTGGAATTAGCAGACAAGGTGATTTAGACCAACTCTCCCTTTGAAGACCAACTAGATAAACTGAAAAAAAAAATACAAAAATTAATCTGCTAGAAAAAAAATTGAGTGCTAACAATGTAGCTAAGAATTTAGGGGCCAACAGAAATAAACCCACAATTATATGGTCAATTAATCTTCAACAAAAGAGACAGAAGATGCAATGGGAAAAAGACATTCTCTTCAACAAATGGTGCTGAGAAAACTGGACAGCTACATGCAAAAGAATGAAGCTGGACCACATTTTCACACCACACACAAAGATAAACTCGAAATGGATTAAGGACCTAAATGTGAGACCTAAAATCATAAACCCCTACAAGAAAACACCAGCAATAATTTCATGGACACCAACCATAATCACGTTTCTAGATATGTCTCTTGAGGCAAGGGAAACAAAAGTAAACAGAAACCATTGGGACTTGATTGAAGTAAGTGCTGTGCTTCTTCACAGCAAAGGAAACCAAAAAAAAAAAAAAAAAAAAAAAAAAAAAAAAAAAAAAAAAAAAAAAAAAAACTAAAAGACAACCTACAGAATGGGAGAAGATACTTACAAATGACATATCCAATAAAGGGTTAGGAACAAAAATATATAAAGAATTTATACAATGCAACACCAAAGAACAAATAATCCAATTTAAAATTGGGCAGAAGACATGAACAAACATTTCTCCAAAGACGGCATACAGATGGCCAACAAACACATGAAAAGATGTTCAACATCACTCATCATCAAAGAAATGCAAATCAAAACTACAATGAGATATCACCTCACACCAGTCAGAATGGCTAAAATCAAAACCACAAGAAACAAGTGTTGGTGAGGATGTGGAGAAAAAGGAACCCTCTTGCACTGTTGGTGGCAATGCGAACTGGGATAGCCACTCTGGGAAACAGTATGGACGTTCCTCAAAAAGTTAAAAATAGAACTACCCTACAATCTACTAATTGCACAATTGGGTATTTACCCAATACAAAAACACTAATTCATGTATGTATATTGTACATGTATGCATATTGTACAATTATGGAGGCAGCCGAACTGTCCATCAATAGGTGAATGGATGAAGACGATGTGGTATGATTTTATATATGTGTATACACACACACATACACACACACACAATGGAATATTATTCAGCCATAAAAAAAGAAATCTTGCCATTTGCAACAACTTGGAAAGAGCTAGAGAATATAATGTTAAGTGAAATAAGCCAGTCAGAGAAAGAGAAATACCATTTGATTTCATTCATATGTGGAATTTAGGAAACCAAAAAAAATGAGCAAAGGAAAAAAGAGACAGAGGGAGGCAGACCAAGAAAGAGACTCTTAATCATAAAGAACAAACTGATGGTTACCAGAGGGGAGGTAGATGGGGAGATGGGCAAAATAGGTGATGGGGATTAAGAATCATTTGTGATGAACACAGGGTGTTGTATGGAAGTGTTGAATCCCTATATTATACACCTGAAACTAATATTACACTGTGTTAAGTATACTGAAATTAGAATAAAAAACTTTTAAAAAGGTAACATAATGGACAACATAAAAGAAGTGGTATATATATATACAAGGGAATATTATTCACCATAAAAAAATTATGAAATATTGCCATTTGCAACAACATGGATGGATCTAGAGAGTGTAATGCTAAGCAAAATAAGCCAGTCAGAGAAAGACAAATACCATGATTTCCCTCATAGGTGGAATTTAAGAAACAAAACAAATGAGCAAAGGGGAAAAAAAGAGAGAAACTAAAATAACGGACCCTTAACTGTACAGAACAGACAGATGATTGTGAAGGTAGATGGGAGGGCGGGGGAAAAGAGTGAAATAGGGAAGGGGATTAAGAGTACACTTACCTTGATGAGCACGGAGTAATACATGGAACTATTTAATCAACTATAAACCTTATGATTTAATCAACTATAAGCTAATATAGCATTGAAACTAATATAACACTATATATTAACTACACTAGAATTAAAATTAATGATGATGATGATAATAATAATAATAAAACATTAAAAAAGGAATAAATTGAAAAAAGGAGTTTTGGGGCCAAAACTCATTGAGGAAAAAAAATTCCCAGGGGTGAGGTTTCTGAGAAGACGTCAGAGTAGGAAGCACCAGGAACCTACTTCCCCACCTAGACAATAATTGAACTGGCAGAATCTAATGTAACTATTTCGGAGCTCTGGAATCTACTTAAGGCTTTCAATTTCCAGGGGAAGGCTTGGACAGTAAACCGTGGTTAATTTTGGTCAGTTAGAGCTCCTAGCACAGCAGCATTTACCCTTCCCCCATCCCCAGCCCTGTGGCAGACAGCTGAGCAAGTGTTCCTGGAGCATTCTGCACGCAGCTGCAAGAGCCAGGGTGAGCAGAAAGGACCATGTCTACCAAATATCAGGCATCTGTGTTCTGATCTCTGATCGCTGCTGCAGATCACAGATGTGCAAGAGGCAGGTGGCCATTGTTGTAGCACCCAGTCCTCCTCAGGCTGAAGTGACTTCCAGGGAATTTAAAGAGACATTGCCCTTCCCCACCCCCCACCCCCACCTCCATTTTTCTCTTTTCCTCCTTTTAGAAGTCAGATATTAAAGATTAGGATACTCAAATGCAACTGTATATGCAGGGAAAAGTTAGAGAGTAACCACACATGGCCCGGAAAATGCACATACTAGGAAAGACCTAAGAAGACCCTAAGTTTTACCTCAGGCTGATCCTAGGCACAGTCTACAAAAATAAAAAAAAAATTAAAATAAATTTAAAATGGTGAATTTTATGTTATGTGAGTTTTATCTCAAAGGGAAAGAATGAAAGTGAAGTAGTAAGTTAGTAAACAAAAAATGATTCCCCAACAGATCCCACACCAAAGTTAACATCAAAGGGTATTTATTTAGGTTGAAGGAAAATAATCCTACTTGAAATAAAGAACAACGAAAAGAGTAAATATGTGGGCAAAGCTAAATGAATAAATATACTGTGTTAAATAATGACAATATTCTTGGGGCGCCTGGGTGGCGCAGTCGGTTAAGCGTCCGACTTCAGCCAGGTCACGATCTCGCGGTCCGGGAGTTCGAGCCCCGCGTCAGGCTCTGGGCTGATGGCTGGGAGTCTGGAGCCTGTTTCCGATACTGTGTCTCCCTCTCTCTCTGCCCCTCCCCCGTTCATGCTCTGTCTCTCTCTGTCCCAAAAATAAATAAAAAACGTTGAAAAAAAATTAAAAAAAAAAAAATAATGACAATATTCTTGAGAGTCTTATGACTTCAAGTCAAGACTCAAGTTTGAGAAATACCAAACTATTGAAAAAGACCAAATGAGAGCTGGAGGGCAATCTTCTCAGAAGTCTTTTGGTTGTACAGCTCAGGACAGGCTGGAGATGAGAGGCACCATCCATTTCAAATTACTCATCTCAGGAGTTGTGCTCCTAATTTAGACTATGCCTGACTCTAATACCTATCACTGAAATACAAGGAACTCATGTAAAAACTATCTATGTATTCAGTTTTCTATTTCAATTTAATTGTCAATTCTTCCAACGTCTTACCATTGCAGAATAACACTTGGCACGTAAAAAGCCGCACCTACCCTTTCTCAATCACGTCGTCCTTCGAAGAAATCAGATACAAAGACTTGCTCTTCCAAGGTTTTTGAACTGCCGTTTTTGCTCTAGGTGGTTTCTTGGGAGATTTAGGATGCTGTAATAAATTGGATTCTTCTTTCTACCAAGTGGTAAAATAATAAACCAGTGAAAAATGAGCCAATATGAAGGGGAAACAAAGCATAGCTCTGTACATATACCTTGAGTTTGTTTTCATCACTAGAAGATCTCCTCTCTCGCTCTACTGTGCTTCCCACTAGAATAAAAATGTACTCCTTCCTAAACTCCCACTTTTCTACAACCAACATGCTGAATCCCTGACAACTTCTTTAGAGTATAAGAAAGGGCAAAGGCTGGTATACCCCTACTCATATCAGTGTGAAAGAAAACTCTTTCCTAGAGGGAGAACCTCACAAAACCTTTTCTTTATTCTACAATCAAATAGGTTTTCATCTATCTGGGGGGTGGAGATGGGAGGATGAGGAATGGAGGTAGGGAAAGGAAGCAAGGATACCACTGGTCCATACTAAAGACCTATATCTTAACAAAACTATTTCCTTCCATTTTTGGACATTTTATTTTTGTTCCCATTCTTAAATGTTATTTATGGTAAAAAGTCAACTATTTGGTAAAAGCCACATGTATGAATCAAAAAAGTACAAACACTTAAAAGTCCAACTTTGATCTGAGTACGGGAGGCATACATAAATGTAACATTATATAAAATTTAAGAGTAAGGATTATGAAATTATGACACACATGGAAAAATGTGAGGTAGATGTTAGAAGAAATAATCAGAATACAGAAGTATAAGCGCATTAAAATTAAGATTCACAAGACCAAGAGAAAATAAGTAATAGTTGCTAGAAGGAGGTGAAATCAGGAGTGATTTGTCTCTTCAGTTTCCAAATTTCCAGTAGTTTTGTTATTTGAAAAACAAACGCCAACTTTTCTTATATGTCAACTTCTAACAGAATATAATATATGTTCCTGGAGAGCAAGGAATATATTTGCAATGTTTTATTACCCAGAACACACAATAAAATCTTATATACACTCTAGGTCCCTAACAACTACTAATATTTTCTTAAGAATTCCATAAATAAAATTAATTACTTAAGTATGTTTTACACATAACTTCCTAGGTATCAGGGCTCACATCTGTTTCAGTAATTCAGAACACAGCACGACATTAAGTGACACTCAATAAATGAGTGGTACCATAGGGGGCTGAGCTTATTAAAAGAATCATACAAAGCGGTCAAATTCCTAAAAACAGAATGTAGAATAGTGGTTACCAGAGGCTGGAGGAGGAGGAGACGGGGAGTTGTTTAATGGGAATGTAGCTTCAAATCTGCAGGATAAAAAAGTTCTGGAGATCTGTTTCACGACAATACAAATATACCTACCACTGAAGTGTATACTTGAAAATGGTTAAGATGATAAATTTTATGTGTTTTTCACCACAATGAAATAAGCTTTCTTTAACGTTTATTTATTTTTGAGACAGAGAGAGACAGAGCATGAACGGGGGAGGGTCAGAGAGAGAGGGAGACACAGAATCTGAAACAGGCTCCAGGCTCTGAGCGGTCAGCACAGAGCCCGATGCGGGGCTCAAACTCACGGACTGTGAGATCATGACCTGAGCCGAAGTCAGACGCTCAACCGACTGAGCCACCCAGGTGCCCCGAAATAAGCTTTCTTTAAAAAAAAAATAAGTGTATTATGTAGAGAACTTCCAGATTTTTGCTTGGTGTGTTCAAAGAACAACAGAGAGGCCAGTGTGATTGGAGTGGACTAAGTTAGAGAAGAGTGGTAGGAAATGAGGTCAGGAAGTTAGCAGGGGGAGGGAAAGCTGTGTAAAGACCTTGGATTTTCCTCAGAGTCAGAGAGGAAGCCACTAGAAAATCTGGAGCAGGTGAGTGACCTGATCATGTATTTTAAAGGATCACTCTGGCTGATTGGTGGAGAACAGACCATAGGTTTTCTTAATTCATAACTGTTGCAGCATGTACGTTAACAACAACCCCCCAAAAAACTTATGATGAAACTTAAGTATTAGTGTACAAAACCCAAGCGTGGATATTTTACCATACACTTGATAAGGAGATCAAAGTATAAATGTCCACCCTACCTGCATATCAGATACCTGTGGAATGCACGATTTAGGTCTTAATGGCAAGAGGGTTGCCATCTGTGGAAAAGGGTCAACATCCCTCCTTGGTTTCTCTTGACGGAGATGCCAGAATTTCAGTTCAGCACTAGCATGTTTTGCTGGGGATGAATGACTAACACAGAATCTTGGCGCCCTAGTCAAAGGAAAAACAAATTTAAGGTTAAGCTAGACAGTAAGTCTCCAAAATGGAAAGCCTACAAAATCTATAATACCAGTGCTCACAATTATCAGTCTTACCAAACCCTTTTTCTAAAAATTTCCACTTCTGTTTCTGATGCCTGGCCTTAAAAATATGCTTCTCTATGATATACCAACTGCCTGAAATCACACTCACTCATATAAAGAGGCAATATACATTAGGAAAAAATAATAAAATTACATTCAAATTACTGTCCGCTTGATCAGAAAAAGAAGTCTCATATCTATTTGATGAAGGAATTTTTTTAAAAAGCTGATTTATTTTTAAATAAAATTTTAAAAATAGTTTCTAGTAAAATGAACATAAAATGCACCTGTGATCATTTTAAGGCAGTTTAGTATTTATCTATACCAAATAAAAACTAGTAGATGAAATTCACATTTTAAAATATACAAACATTTTTAAATGTTTACCTGTACTACTAAAGTGAATTGTGATTCATATGATCTATTTTCAAGCCTTAAATCTGAAGGTAAGAATTAGTTTAACAACAATTTATATAAATGACAGACTAACACTACTTCCAGAAACCCAGGAAAAAGAATGTTTGGCACAATGTCAAGGCCATACTTAATTGGATGGATATCCTGGTATTTAGTCTGTGGGCTCTTTATTGGCTAGAGGGTTAACTCCAGCTGTCAGGCCTGATGCTAATTGCTACTTGGACCAGGTTTTCCCCCCTGATGCCACAGCCCAAAGACTAATTCCCACTCCATATTTCAGGTCTTGGTATAAAATTGCTTCCCTCCAAAATAGAAAGAAAGTAGATATTCCCCTGATGTGAACACAGGTTGGGAGTGGAAGAGAATCCAAAGTTCAAATTCATTTAAATTCAGAAAGCGTACTGTATAAATCTGAATGGGCATCCTAACTATATTTCAGAACCCTTACTTGCAGACTTGGAAATATCCAAAATTACCTCTTATTCTCATATCAACCAATAAGTGGGAATATCTACAAGATCCTTATCCAATAAAGCATACATGTACTAACTGGGAAATCTAGGTGTTTCAATTTTCTGATTTCCATCATTATATTCATATGGACTGTGTCTCTGCTGCCCCTACCATTTTTAATATTCCACTCTTATTCCATTCATAGAATTAATTTTTATTAGCCACTATGTAAATTCACCAAATATTGTGGAATAAGCGTCACAGTCAATCCTAAACTGGTGTTGTATTATTTTTCATGCTTCCATCATATGAGTTCTCATTTACACTGATTGCACACATCTTAATTCTCAATCTCTAGAAGGTGGGAGAAGGCATCTGTCACATAATACTATCAAACATCAAAGGAACTGTATCCAATACGATGTGTGCGTATGTATGTATAGATGTTTACGTGTGTGTGTGCATAAGCGTGTGTATATCTCCCAATAGAAAAATGGGCAAATGAGATAAAAAAGCAAATCACGACAATTGAAATCCAAATGACTAACAAGCACTGAAAAGGTTATCAGCCTCACTAGAACTAGAGGAAATGCCAGTTACAACCACAGGACACCAATGACACACCAAGACATAGGCAAAAATTTTGAAGTCTGACAATACTAAATGCTACCATGGATTTATAGCAATGGGTACTTTCATATTCTGTCAGTGAAAGAATAAATGGGCACAGCTGCTGTAGAAAAATGGTTATGTGTACAAGAATACACATTTCAGCATTGCTTTTGTGAAAAGTAGGAAACAACCGAAATGTTAAAGAAATACCAATATACAATGAAAATTATTAAAATTATTTTTTTTTAATTTTTTTTAACTTTTATTTATTTTTGAGACAGAGAGAGACAGAGCATGAATGGGGGAGGGTCAGAGAGAGAGGGAGACACAGAATCCGAAACAGGCTCCAGGCTCCGAGCTGTCAGCACAGAGCCCGACGCGGGGCTCGAACTCACAGACCGCGAGATCATGACCTGAGCTGAAGTCGGACGCCCAACCGACTGAGCCACCCAGGCGCCCCTAAAATTCTTAATTACAGACAAATCTTCCATCTAATGTTGATAGAAGACACAAAAGAAAGCATACAACATGATTCCATTTACATAAAGTTGTAGAACAGGCAGACAAAAGTATACATTTAGGGATTTATTTGCATACATCATTGCTAAAACTATAAAGAAAAGAAAGAGGGTGACAATCACAAAAGTCAGGATAGTGGTTGCCTCTGAGGAGGAGTGAGGATATTGTAATCAATAAGGGATCTTCAGTGATCTTGGCAATGTTTTATTTTACAGCCCACGTAGTGGTTACCTAAGTATTTGCTTCATAATATTCATCAAATGGTTTATGTTTTAGTTTGAAATTTAAATACACATGAGTTAGCTAGATCAAGAAAAAGATAAGAGGATTCTGGGAAAATGGCAATGTGGCCCAATTCATTTTTCTACCTCTCAGAATCCCTCCATACAAACAGGACAACTAGATAGCAAAACCGAAAACTCATGGACAACATTTATAACAGAATGTTAAGGTATCCCCACAAACACCAAGATACAAGTAGGTAGGACAGACTACTGTCAGTCACAAGACGTGCATGGTGTTGGCACGAAGGTAGAAGGAAGTGTCTGACAGACCTGAGAATGGAAGAGCACCAAAACAGCTGGAAAAGCAAAGCAGGTCCATGTGAGGGCTCTAGCCCTCTCTAATACTGAGTACACACAAAATTGAATCACATTGCTATTTACCAACAATGAACTGGAAAGCTATATTTAAAAAATATAAGCTATGATACATGCAACAATTTGAATGCATTATGCTTCAATGGCATTTTGCTGTCAACAGAGGTCAGTCGCAGGTTGCATACTGTATGATTTCATTTATGTGACATTCTCAAAATGACAAAAGTGGTGACAAGTAACAGACCAGTGGTTGCCAGGGGTCAGGAGTGGAGAAGGAGTGTAACAAGGTTAGTGTGAGAGTTTGGGGGGTGACAGAAGTGTTTGCATCTCGGAGCGCCTGGGTGGCTCAGTCAGCTAGGCGTCTGACTTTGGCTCAGGTCATGATCTCACAGCTCATGAGTTTCAGCCCCGCATCGGGCTCTGTGCTGACAGCTCAGAGCCTGGAGCCTGCTTCAGATTCTGTGTCTCCCTTTCTCTCTGCCCCTCCCCCGCCTGTGCTCTGTCTCTGTCTCTCAAAAATGAATAAGTGTGAAAAAAATTAAAAAAAAAGAAGTGTTTGCATCTTGATTGCCATGGTGGTTACATGAAGCTCTACAACTTGACTTGCCTATATGTTAATGTAGAACATAGAAAAGAAAGAAAGAGGAAGGATAGCCTTTTCAATAAGTGAAGATGCACAACTGGATATCCATAAGTAAAAGCAAAAATCTCTCAAAAAAAACCAAAAACCAAAGCAACCAACACTTGACCTAAACCTAACACCTTATACACAAATTAACTCTAAGTGGAGCACAGACTTAAATGTTAATACATAAAATTAGAAAGGTTTTAGAAAACAACATAAAAGAAAATCTTTAGGATCTAGAATAGAACTAGGCAAAGAATTCTTCAGTTTGAAACCAAAGCATAATTCATAAAAGGAGGAGCTGAAAAATTAGACCTCATCAAAATTTTAAAATTTTGCTCTGTGAAAGACCCCCCTCTCTTTTTTTTTCTTTCAGATAGTTATATTTATTCTGAATAGTAGGTGCAGGCAGCAACATTTTACACAGGAACATTGTGTTGGTTGAATAAACGTGGCCCAAGACCTCTTTGCCTCTACCCTGATGAAATGTTTGGACTGAAACTTACCTGAAGCCCTTGATAGAGACTGTCCCCCATAGGTCACCCTCCCAGGGACAATCCCACATGTGATGAACTTCAGAATTTCTCTTGCAAGGTCTTTCCTTACTTGTCTTCATGAGCATCTGTTGCTTGGTTTGTCCTGTTTTTTTCTTCAGTTAATTATGGTCTTCATAACTGAGTATGGTAACTTGAGTTTGTGAAAATTGCATTTTCCATTTGTACCTCCAATTCCAGTCCATCACCACAGGGTTCACTCTGTTCTCTTCTATTTGTAACTCTCTTCCACATCAATGAGAATTCTGGTTCTCATTATCTATATAATTTTTACTATTTTGGGGGCGCCTGGGTGGCGCAGTTGGTTAAGCGTCCAACTTCAGCCAGGTCACGATCTCGCGGTCTGTGAGTTCGAGCCCTGCGTCAGGCTCTGGGCTGATGGCTCAGAGCCTGGAGCCTGTTTCCGATTCTGTGTCTCCCTCTCTCTCTGCCCCTCCCCCATTCATGCTCTGTCTCTCTCTGTCCCAAAAAAAATAAATAAACGTTGAAAAAAAAAATTTTTACTATTTTGCTTAGTCTAGATTTTTTTAATACAAGGATATAACTCAAGAACAGCCAGATAGAAAAGATGTATACAATAAGGTGTGTGGTAAGGAGTATAGAGCTTCCATGCCTTCTAAGCATACCACTCTCCCCAAATCTCCATGTGTTCACCAACCAGGAAGCTCTCGAAGGCCCTTTGAAGAAGTCTTTGGAAAGCTTGTCTCTGAAAAGACAAGCTAAAGGCTGGGAGAAAATATTTGCAAACTACATGTCTAATGATTAGTATCTACAATATAAAAATAACTTTAAAACTCAACAATAAGAAAACAATTAGCAAATAGACAAAAGACATGAACAGATATTTTACTGAAGAGGATATGCAAATGGCAAACAAGCACTTGAAAAGATGTTCAGCATCATTTATCATTAGAGAATGGCAAAGTAAAAACACAAGATATCACTGTGCACCTATTAGAATGTGCACATATTAGAATTTTCTGTTAAAAATAGAAAATTGTGACAACACCAAACAATGGCAAAGATGCACAGAAACTGGATCCTTTTTTTTTTTTAAATTTTTTTTTTCAATGTTTATTTATTTTTTTGGGGACAGAGAGAGACAGAGCATGAACGGGGGAGGGTCAGATGGAGAGGGAGACACAGAATCGGAAACAGGCTCCAGGCTCCGAGCCATCAGCCCAGAGCCTGACGCGGGGCTCGAACTCACGGACCGCGAGATCGTGACCTGGCTGAAGTCGGACGCTTAACCGACTGCGCCACCCAGGCGCCCCAACTGGATCCTTTTTACATTGCTGGTGGGAATGTAAAAATGGTACACCAACTTTGGAAAATAGTTTGGCAGTTTCTTTTAAAACTAAAAATAGACTTACCATGTGACCCGGTAATCTCACTCTTAGACATTTATCCCAGAGAAATGAAGATTTATGTTCATTCAGAATCCTGTACATGAAGGCTCATAGCAACTTGATTAGTAACAGTGAAAGAGTGGAAACACCCCTAGTGACCTTCAGTGGGTGAATGGATGTGTAACATCCATACAACAGAGTGCTACTTAACAATGCAAAAAAAATTTTTTGACACACACAGCCACTTGGATGGATCTCAAGGGAATCATGTTGAATGAAAAAAGGTAACCGCAAAGATTACAAATTGCATTATTTCATTAAATAATACATTGGTGGTTTCCAGGAGTTAGGGATGGGAAGAGAAGGAGGTGGGCATAGTTGCAAGAGGGCAGTACAAGGGAAGTTTGTGGTAACTGTTCTGTGTCTTGACTGTGGTGGCAAATTCATGAATCTCTAATGTGATAAAATTGAATAGAACTAACTATACACAAACACACAAATAAGTGCATGCGTAACTGGTAAAATATGAAAAAGACCGGTGAATGATGTCAATTTCCTCATTGTGATATTGGATTAAGTTATGCAAAATGTTACCATTAGGGGAAACTGGGTAAAAGCTACACAGAATCCTCTCTATTACTTCTTACAACCGCATATGAATATATAATGATTTCAAAATAAAAAGTTAAATTAAAAAAACATTTCTACTGTATAGTAATATTTTATTAAGTTGGATGGTGTGTACATAGGCACCCACTATAATTTATACCTTTCTGTATGCCTTAAATATATTTTTTTAATTAATTAATTAATTAATTAAGCTTTCTTTTTAAGTTTTTATTTAAATTCCAGATAGTTAACATACAGTTTAACGTTAGTTTCAGGTGTACAATATAGTAATTCAGCACTTCCACACAGCACCGGTGTCCATTACAAGTGCACTCCCTTAATCTCTATCACCTATTTCACCCATCTCCCCCCACCCCCACTTCCCCTCTGGTAATCATCCGTTTGTTCTGTATGGTTAAGAGTCTGTTTCATGGTTGGCCTCCCTCTAGTTTTTTCACCTTTGCTTGTTTGTTTTGTTTCCTAAATGCCACATAGGAGTGAAATCATAAAGTATTTGTCTTTCTCTGACTTATTTCACTTAGCATAATATTCCCAAGCACCATCCGTGTCACTGCAGAGGATAAGATTTTATTCTTTTTTATGGATGAGTAATATTCCATTGTATATCTATACCACCTCTTCTTTATCCATTTTCAGTTGATGGACACTTGGGTCATTTCCATAATTTGGCTATTGTAGATAGTGCTGCAATAAACATTGGGGTGCACGGATCCCTTAGAACTAGTACTTTTATATCCTTTGGGTAAATACTTAGTAGTGCAATTGCTGGATCCTAGGGTAGTTGTATTTTTAAATTTTTTGAGGAACCTCCATACTGTTTTCCAGAGTGGCTGCACCAGTTTGCAATCCCATCAACAGTGGAAAAAGATTCCTTTTTCTCCAGATCTTTGTCAATACTTGCTGTTTCTTGCATTTTTTATTTAGCCATTCCGACAGGTGTGAGGTAATATTTCATTGTAGTTTTGATTTGCATTTCTCTGATGATGAGTGACATTAAGCATTTTTTTCATGTGTCTCTTGGCCATCTGTATGTCTTCTTTGGAAAAATGTCTATTCATGTCTTTTGCCCATTTTTTATTGGATTATTCATTTTGGGGGTGTTGAGTTTTATAAGGTCTTTATATATTTTTTGGATATGAACCCTTTATCAGATATGTCATTTGTAAATATCTTCTCTCATTCTGTAGGCTGCCTCTTACTTTTTTTGTTTCTTTCGCTGTGCATATGCTTTTTATTTTTATGAAGTTCCAATCATTTATTTTTGTTTGTCTTTCTCTTGTCTCAGGAGACATATTTAGAAGGAAGTTGCTATAGCTGATGTCAAAGAGGTCCCTGCCTATGTTCTCCTCTAGGATTTTTATGGTTTCTTGTCTCACATTTAGGCCTTTCATCCATTTTGAATTTATTTTTGTGTATAGTGTAAGAAAATGGTCCAGTTTCATTCTTTTGCATGTTGCTGTCCAGTTTTCCCAACACCATTTATAGTAGAGACTTGTCTTTTTTTCCATTGAATATTCTTCCCTGCTTTGCTGAAGATTAATTGACCATATAATTGTGGGTTCATTTCTGGGTTTTCCATTCTGTTCTGTTGATCTATGTGTCTACTTTTATGCCAGTATCATACTGTTGATCACTATAGCTTTGCAATATAACTTAAAGTCTGGAAATTGATGCCTCCAGCTTTTGTTTTTCAAGGTTGCTTTGGCAACCTTGGTCTTTGGTGGTTCCATACAAATTTTGGGATTATTTGTTGTAGCTCTATGAAAAATGGTGGTAGTATTTTGACAGGGATTGCATTAAATGTGTCGATCGCTTTGGGTAGTATAGACATTTTAACAATATTTGTTCTTCCAATCCAAATTTAGCATGGAATGTCTTTCCATTTCTTTGTGTCATCTTCAATTTCTTTCATCAGAGTTTTATACTTTTCAGAGTACAGATCTTTTACCTCTATGGTTAGGTTCATTCCTAGGTATCTTATTGTTTTTGGTGTGATTATAAATGAGATAAATTCCTTGACTTCTTTTTCTGCTGCTTCATTATCGGTGTACAGGTAGGCAACAGATTTATATGCCTTGATTTTATATCCTGTGAATTTACTGAATTTGCATATCCATTCTAGCAGTTTTTTTTGGTATAGTCTTTCAAGTTTTCTACATAGAGTATCATGTCATCTGCAAACAGTGTCTTTCTTGCTGACTTAGATATCTTTTTAAAACCTCATCTTGTTGTCTGATTGCTGAGGCTAGGACTTCTAGTACTGTGTTAAATAACAGTGGTGAGCATAGACATATTTAAGTTTTGAAAGAAAGAAAGAAAGAAAGAAAGAAAGAAAGAAAGAAAGAAAGAAAGAAAGAAAGGGAGAAAAACAACATTCTATCTACATATGGAAAAGTACAAAGCATATATGTAATCTGGAATACCTAGATGGGAGATGATGCCAGAAAAGTGTGTGAGGGACAAATTATGATAACCTTATTTGCTAACTTAAGGCATTTGAACTCTGCACTGAAAGCTGTGGGGAAAGATCTCAAGCAGAAAAGTAACATAATCAGATCCATTACAGCCGCAAGGCAGCTCAATAACCCTCAAATGGCACACATCTTCTCCACTATGTCCCCTCTAAGTTCCCTATTTTGAGTCCTTAAAGTTCCAAGTAAAACATTACCTCTCCTCTGTATCCTGTGTGATCACCACACTTTCTTTTACTATACTCATTTCCCATGTATGTTCCTTTTACTAGATTGTAATCACTAGATTTGTCTATATTTTACCCTTGTGTCCTTAGTACAGCACTTGGCCTATAGTAAGTGCTCAGAATAAATCTATAACTTTTTCAAGATGTACACACACACACACACACAATTTGATGAGATACTGACCATAAAAAAGTCAGGGGTAGTGTGCTCACAAAGTTAAAATGAATGTCCAGTCTTATTACGGATTTTAAACACCCCAAACACTGAATTATCTAAAGGGTGAGTACTTAAGGAAGGTGAAAAATATGATAATCTTGTCATTTTAAATCTCCATAAATTATAAATCAGTAAGACAAAAATTATAACTTGTAATTAGCCTAGGAAAAGTAAAAGCAAGTAAGTTTGTTTCATATTATTTTTCTTACCAATAGAGAAGTAAGGGTTTTACAACCTCAATCTGAATATTTCTTAAATGTTCTTCATTCCACTGAGATGCATCTAGCAGTTTAAGTTTTGATAATATTTCTGCAGAAAGGTAGCAATCTCCACTGCTCACTAAATAGCATTTTTTCATCTTTTCAAGATGTCTAAAACGAGACATACAAATTGCCACGATATTCAACAAACCAAATGTTTTCACTTCTAAAATGTTTCACACAAGTAATGAACTATCTCAAAACCAACACTGAATTACAGGAGTACCAATGTGGAGATAAAAATATTTCTTACAATAATGAGAATAAGAAAGATATTTTTAGTAGGTTGAACAATGGCCTTCCGAAGATATCCATGTCCTAAACCCCAGAACCTCTGAATGTTACATTACATGGTCAAAGGGATTCTGCAGATGTGCTTAGGATTTTGAGAAGATTATCCCAGATTATCCAGGTGGCCCTAATGTAATCACAAGGGTCCTTCTAAGAGGGAGACAGGAGAGTCAGTCACAGAGAAAAGATGTGAGGATAGTAGCAGAGGCCAAAGAGAAGATGCTATGTTGCTGGCTTTGAAGATGGAGGAAAGGCCATCAACTAAGGAAAATAGATGACCTCTGGAAGCTAGAAAAAGCAAGGAAATGGACTCTCCCCTAGAGCCTCCAGGAGGAATGGAGCCCTGCCTACCCATTTTAGATTTCTTATCTCTGAACTGTAATAGAATACATTTTCATTGCTTTAAAAGCCATTAAATTTATGGCAATCTGATACAGCAACAATAGGAACTAATACAGTAAATCCTGAAGAGTTTATGTAGGTTGCTTGCATATAACTTCCCCAATATGTCTTGAAAAGCAGTAGTGGCTTTCCACTCCATAATCGATCAGGTCATGGCTTCATAACCAACCATTTGGTAACCCCTGATCTTATAAGCATGTACAACATGATCTGAATGCCACTGAAATAACTGGAATAACCCAGTAACTAGTATGTACTCAGTCAAACCCTTACTGAGAATTGCAATCTACTGTAGTTGATCTGCTTCAAAGCAAAAAGGAGAACACAGACAGTATAAAAACTTTCTTAAAGCAGGGTCCTCTTAAGGTTCTTAAGACTTACATAATCTAAAATATATGGGACAGCAAAACAAGGACCTGGACCCATCAGAGATCTAAGAGGTTCTCTAGAGGATATCTAGTATGATACCTAGGAGATATCTTACTCAGATATGAATGTCTTAAGTGGCATCCAACAAAAGATCATGGGATATGTTAACAGAGCAGGTTGTTAGGATCAGTAGTCTCTTACAATGGCTTAAGGTGCCTTTTATAAAAGGTATCTTAAGCCAGTATGGTTATATACTGAAAAATTATTTTTTCTATAAAAATAAATCGTGAGAATATTATAAAAATAAAATAGAATGGGGCGCTTGAGTGAGTCAGTCAGTTTAACATCTGACTTTTGATTTTGGCTCAGGTCATGATCTCACGGTTCATGAGATCAAGCCTTGCATCCCTGGGGTCTGCGCTGACAGTCCGAAGCCTGCTTGGGTTTCTCTCTCCCCCTCTTTCTGCCCCCACCCTGCTCATGTGCATGCACAGGCACATGCATGCTCTTTCTCTCCCAAAATAAATAAGCATTCATAAATAAATAAATAAGAAATAAATAAATAAGAATGATTGATTTGAAAGCAAGTTTAGAATCTATGAGAAGAAACATTATGCAAACCCAAACAATTGCCACTATTTGTATCTGATAATTATGAAATCACAGAAATAGTGAAATCAATATTATTATAATAAAATAAATGTTAATATTAATTCCTCTGAAAGCATAAATTACATTTTTATATTTACTTCAGGCTTTCTGTCTGTGCTTAAATGACCCAAACTAATATTCCATAATTTTTTTAAAAAAACTACTGAAAAGTAAAAAATTGACTTACCTTTGATGTCTTCCAGCGTTCTTAAGAACTTTTAACCTCTCAATATCCATCCATAACAACCAATATCTCTCTCCTAGTGTACCTTTTATAAATTTCTTAAATCTTTCAAACTCTTTTCTATTGCCAATATCATAAGCTTTGTGAGAAATACACCAATCAGCCCTGCTCTCTTGTCCAATGCTCTCACTTTTTAAACTTGCTTGTTCTAGCATCTCTTTTGACTTGACATAGGTTTGAAATGCTTCACTTGACACAACATTCCTGCCAGGAACAGGCTCAAAACCCTCCTCAATCACCACTTCTGTTACCTTGTTGAAATTTATAAAATCTGGGCTTTCTCTAAGTGGCTCTTCAAAAATGTGATGAATTGCTACTCTCAAAATAAAGGCTACGTAAGATCTTAAAAATTCTTCACATGTTGAGAAATGCAATATAAGGCCATCATCAGCATCCTGTTGCTTTTCAAGGTATATTCTCAGAAGCGCTTGAGAAGGAGTGTCTTGTAGACATACAGACCCATCTTCTTCTTTGAAATGAGAAATTAATCTAGTGGATTCAGATGAGTCCCGTTTTGTCCTCGGGTGAATTCCATCATCAAAGATAAAACTTTCTGTATTAAATTATAAAAGGCTATTAGACCAGATATGAATACAAATATGTTTTTATTATTAACTAGATGTTGTAGAGCCAGCATGGTAAATGGGCCTGTCACAGGTAGAGACTTTGTGCACTTAAAGGGGAGTTCTAAAGCCACATTTGGTACCAGAAGAGAAAAACCTGCCCAAAGGATTGGTTATGTCTTCCCTGGACATAAAAAGGGACACTGGTAGCAGATGAACTAAATATTTGATATCACTAATACAGAGATCTTCAAAAATACATTATGCACTTTTAAAATGTAATAGTTTAGGCTGATATAGAATGTTAATATATAAAGGCCAAATCTATTAAACACTAGAATATGTGCATTAAATAACTGTATGTATTCCAATATTTCATGCTGCATGGTAAAATAAAACTAGCTACCATTAATGATGAAACAGTCAATGAACAGATCAGAACCAGAGTCATATCAGTAATTTTTTAAAATTCACTATTTTGGGGGCACCTGGGTGGTTTAGTCAGTTGAGCGTCTGACTCATGATATCAGCTCAGGTCATGGTCTCGCAGTCATGGGATCAAGCCCTGCTAAGCGTGGAACCCACTTGGGATTCCTTCTCTCCCCCGCTCTCTGCCTTTTCTCGCTTGTGTGCACTTTCTCTCTCTCTCAAAATAAATAAACATTTTTTTTTAATTCACTATTTTCTCAGAAAGATTCAATTACTATCATACTTTTAACCTATCATCAAAATTACAAAATGACATAAAGTACTTACGAGAGATTACAAATACAAATGGGTTGTTTTATACTTTTTCTAAAGTATAGTCTTTAATTATTTTCTCCTTCTTCAGAAATCAGAGAAAGATCTGATGTCAGTGCTTTATTTCCCATGCCAAATCTACCCCTTGAAATGCCATGCATCAGGAAAACTCTGTTGTCATCTGTGCCCCACCTCCATGGGCATTTTCTCAGGCATAGTTTTCAAATCTCAGCGAACTAGAAATGTCTCATTATAATTTTTATTGAAAATTAAGATACTAAGTTTCCACAATCTTGAGAGATTAGACTTTTGTAAGCCTACGAAAGGATCTGGGTATACACTCAACCCAGTTGTAGAGGAAAAGAGCAAGGTTAGCATTTCTGTTCATCACCTTCCTGCTACCCTTTCTCTTCCTGTTTACCATCTCCTCTACCTTTGCTCTCCAATTTTCTACTTTACTATTTGGGGGAAACAGCAAGAAATCTATAAATTCACCTATTTTCAAATTAAGGAGATTCTTTTCCTCTTTCTAGATTTAGGTTCAATTCTAGAGAATCCAGATTTACTGTCCCCCAAAGGCTGCTTACTTACACTTTTCCAAAGAATTAGGTAACAACTGTTAGGGAATTGCTAAGTTCCTCTCCTGAATCATGTTGCTAGATTTTTTTTTTCTCTAGCAATATCATGTTAATGACTCCCATTTCTGGAAATTTCCATCTACATTTCTGAAAAGTTGGTATCATCCACAAAAGTTCCCCACAGTAGAAATACATCTGCTTTTCAAGGAGAAAAACAGTCTGAACTTAAAAACAGAAGGAAAATTCAAGTTGTATGAATGATTATATACTTTCAAGAGGAAAGAAAGTTTGCACCCCTTAATTTCAAAGGCTTAATAATAATAATTTATAAACTACCATAGGAAATAAAGACAAAACAAACACTTACTGACTGCCTATGAAGTACCAGGCACTAGGCTGGGCTTTTTCTATACATTTAGTATGTGTCATTATTCTAATCTTACAGATGAGAAAAGACTCTCAGAAGTGAAATAACTTTAAAAAGTCACACAGCTAGTAAGTTTTAACCCATCTAACCCATCCTCTTTCTACTATGCCAACTTGCCTCTAAAAAACCAATAGAAAGTGAAGTGGGGCAGGGGGGGATGGGGACGGAAATAATTTTTCTCTCCAACCACTAAGTATGATATTGTAAGATTAGAACAATGAAAAAAGATTTAAAGAGGAGTTCTGAGGGGGGCCTGGGTGGCTCAATCGGTTAAGTAGCTGACTCTTGACTTCAGCTCAGGCGATGACCTCACAGTTCATGAGATGGAGTCCCAAGTCAGGCTCTGCATTGACAGTGCAGAGCCTGCTTGGGATTTTCTCCCTTTCTCTCTGCCCCCCCTTCACTCAAGCTCTCACTCTCAAAATAAATAAATAAACTTAAAAAAAAAAAAAA